ACCTTTGTTGCTTTTCATTATTTTTAGATTAAAAAAAGAAAGTAGCAAAATGAGTCATTTTAAAGCACTTCTCTGGTTACCCATCTGTTACACTATTTCCAGATTATTATTGTATTATTGGGTCTCACCCAGTTTAAATGTGTCATCACTATTTCCTTTTATCATATCAACTTCAGAAATTCAATGTTTTTACAATCATTTGTTCCCTCTGCACAAGATATCGGCAATTACTGTGTGTAAAAAATATTCCAACTTCAACTTAAAATATTAACTTATTTTGTTTGGTTAATATTTTACCTGACACTTAATGGAACAGAGTTCAGTGTAATAAAAAGGGAGGAGGCATTAGTTTCTTTGAGATGTCAACTTAATGCTATTTAAACTTCTAAGCTTTACTTCAGAATTTAAAAAATTTATCCTATTTCTAAGAATGTTATTTTATTTATATATATATATATATATATAACACACACAGTAATTTCAAAGTCTTTTAATGTTACTTATACACAGAAATTGTTTTCTAATTTATGTTTAAATGTTTCTTAAATTAACTTTTATGATGATAGCATAAGGGTTATTGATGTGCAGAGTTCAAATTCCAGTCCAGTTTGTGGTATTTGTTTAGCCCTTAATGCCCTTTAGAAAGGCACAAATCCATTTGTCTACCCCAACTATTGGTTGAATAATATGGTGAACTGGGCTCTCGTATCTTAGGATACAACCAGTCTTGGAGAAAGACAGCTCAAAATTCAAATTCATGTAGAAATCAATAAGAAACCATTCCTTAAGAACTTATGGCAATTCACTGATAATAAAGAAAACATTTTTTGGAGAGCTATGACCTGAAAGGGTATGGCACAAAATGAAAATTTTGAAAAAGGAAGTTAATAATTTAACTGATGTTGTTTGTACATTTTTCAATACAATAAACCCTTGCTTTTGGTTTTCACATTTTCTTGCAATGACTATCTACTGATTTTGTTTAAAAGAGAATGAAAATTCAGCTGTGAAGTTACTTTTTTTTTTTTTTTTTTTTTTACCTTAGTCAGCTTAGAGTAAATATGGTTGGTTTGGTTCATACCTACTAGACACCTATGCTACTGCAATCAGTTGATTGGTATGTCTTTATTATATCTCCATTATTCATGAATATTCTGATGCACATTCTTTCAGATTGTCTTAAGTGAAGAATATCAATGATTGCTGAAAAAATTGCACTTTCCAAATTCTTGCAAACAAAAAAATTGACCATGAAATCATTCTATATTAAAGGAAAACTTGTTCCAGTTAGTTTTTTTTTTTTTTTTTTTTGTTTAAATGTAAAGGCTAACATGGACCTTCATGCCTGCAAAAAAAACAGTGCCTCAAAAGGAGTTTTTCCAATGATACTGATTTTATTTTATCTACCTTCACTTTTTGGCAAAGTTGTTTTTAAAAAGTGATTATTAGAATTTTAATAGAACCTAAACATATGAAAGTGAATTTATACATTTTCTTTGTTCTTGAGAATTGACAGCAAAAATAATAAATCCTGTTTGTTTATTTACACTATTATATTGTTTATTGGAATGGTTGGCAAAACATTGGCTAATTGCCAATTGAGTCAAACTTTATAAAATGGTAAATAAGAATTTCTTTATGGTTGATTTACATAAATTTATGAATGAAAAATTGTTTTCATATTTATTTCTTTATAAATTGGTAAATGATAAATATTACATTGCATTAATCTTAATACAATTGTATTAGTTTTTAAAATGTTGTAAATAAGCAATCTAATTAATATTATTTAATATTTTTGCCAATTCTCAAGAACAAAAAAGTATAAATTCACTTTCCTCATATGTTTGTTTTATCCCAGTTCTAATCATCACTTTTTAAAACAATAAACATTGCCAAAGAATGAAGGTAGTTAAAATAAAAGCAGTGTTATTGGAAAAACCATCCTTTTGACACTCAGTTTTTTTTGGTGGCCATGTTTGCCAAAAGTTTTACATGAAAAAGTTGGAATCTTTTTTTTTTTTTTTTTCTCTCTTTCCCTCTCATTTAAAGAGTTTACCAATGGTGGATGTGGGAACAAACCTGTTTCTTTTGCATTCTGGTTTGAGAAATGACAGGACAGATTTACTCATTATTTCTGCATTCACACTACCATTTAAAAATTAACATAGGCTCACACCTACATGCATATAGCAAGTATACAATTCTGTTTTGTATCTATGTTAATTTTAAACAGATAGGAATGATGCTTACCATTAATCAGTGTTAGTGTCAATATGCCCAAAATAATGTGCCTAAAAATATTATGGGTTTATAAATGCTTATCAAAATATTGATTGCAATTCAGTTTTGACTATAGTCATCTCCAGATAATATTCTATAGAATTTTGTTTTTGTGTAAAATATTTGTGCATTTTTTAAATACTTGAGCCTAACATTCCTTTTAGTGGTAATGAATGCAGAACTACTTGATGAGTAAATCTGTCCTGTCACTTCTCAAACCAATATAGGGTGGTAGCACCTGATAGGGTCACAGCTATAGGCAAATAATAGACCGACAAACAAAAAAATGAAACATTATGAAAGTATAAAAATACATTTTTATATAAAAAAAATACCATCAATACATATTTATAGAATATATTTTGATGAAGCCATAAAAATGTGTTCAAAATATTTAGATTACAGCATTAAGTAACTCAGAAGTTGATATGTCACTAAAAAAAAAAATCAACCAAACAAACGAGTATGTAAGAGAAATGTATTTGTTCCCATATTCACCATTGATAAACGCTCTTTAAATAAGAGAAATTCCACTTAAAAAGAAAACGGTTTGTTTAATATTTGATGATAATCAAAATTTGGCAAAAGGAAACTGAATGGAAATGAAAACTTTTTGAAACAATGAGATAGTTAAAGTAATTTAAATAAATTTTACTTTAATTCAAATTTATTGATATTTTTATAATTTTGAAGACTTGTTATTGTTTTTTATATTTTTAATAATATTTTGTTTATATTTTTTTTATAATTTTGAAGACTTGTCATCTCATGATGACTTAATGCTAATTCTATATTTTCTTAACAATTGACCTTTGAATCCTCTGTTATAATCTTTAGATTTTGCATTACATATACAATGCATTATTATTGTTTTATTTATATTATACAGTTAATCATAGATTTTTATTCTTGGTGAAATAGGGCAGCCTCTTCTCTACCATGTTATAAAGGAACTAATTTGTCTAACAAATACAAGGATGGCTTTAAATTTCCTTTAGTTCTCCAAATCAAAAAAATGTTAAATTTAAAATGTTTCAGCCTTCAGAAATAGTTGATTTAAATTCCACTTCTGTTCATATGTCAAGTTTTCATATACATGAGACCTGATAGTTATGATTAGTAGATGAAATGAGACAGGTTGCTTAAGTAATTTTGCTAATGTTTTATCATAAGAATTAGATAAGATTTCAATTTCTTTTCACATAAGCATCACAGATCATTTTTTCTTATGCTTCATTAATATGGCTAAAGGAATTTGTTTCTATAAGAATAATTTTTTTTTGTTGCTTCCTGCAATTGAGAAATAGTATGAGAAATGTTTTAATGTTAGGTATTCTCTATTCTGTATATAAATGTAAATTTACTTTCTTTCTTTTTTTTTTTTCTTTTTTTACAGATTGAGTGTAGTTAAAGTAAAATAATTATAATTCAAATAAAGTTTGATATATTTATAGTCATCAGACTTTTAGAAAATGATCCCTTCTCTTCTGTTAGCACTAAATTCTTCCAAATTATAAACTTCAATGTGTAAAACTACAAAATGTTACTTTCTAGTGTCAGAAACAATAGAAGCTCAGTAACAATATCAATGTTACTTCATTTGATATTCTTAGCTTTTCTTCTTTTAGACTGTATAAGCTAGTACCAATATTCAGTGACTGATACATTGTTTAAAAATGTTTACAATATGTTTATGGAGAATGAGATGTTCATTAAACTTATGTTAAAAATATCTTTACTAGTAATTTAAGAAATATATTTTCATTTATTTTTTTTCCCTCAGTATTCATCAAACTCTATTCTTGAATACATTCTTTACCATGTCTTTCCTTTTAATTATAGACATTTTTGACTTTATAGAATAAAAAAAAAACTGACTTTTATATCCTCTATATAGATGATTGTAATTGATTAGTGACATCATTGTTCTTATAGTTGATGGATAGCTTGTTACAAAAGGATGCACAAAATCTTGTTGAAAGGAATTTTTCTATTCTGTAATATTTCAAGAAAATGAAGAATTTCTTCATCATTAATATTTCATCCACACTGACCTATTGTCCAGTCTATACTCCTCCCCCATCTTTTGAACAGGATTAATGTTTTCTCCTTTATTTCCTGTTTAGGATGGTGTTTCTGGTTCCTTCTTCTGAGGACTTAATAAGGGTGTTTGTCATGTTTTAATTTTTTGAGAGGGTTGAAATGGCTGGCTCTAGCTTACTGAGGGTACTGGGTTGGCATTTTTCTGGTTGTTAATAAAAAGTCCAAACTCTTAGGTAGTGCTTTGATCGGCTGCTCTGATCAACAGTTGCATAATATTAGGGTTCTTGCAGTGAACATGGGTAGTAAGTGTCCCTGTAAGAACTTCTGGTGGGCAACCCTGATGCCACACTATGTTGAGCTGAGCACTGAGTTATATGCGGCTTTGATTGTGTGTGTGTGTGTGAGTTTTTTTTTTTTTTTTTTTTTTTTTGTTAATGGCTTATCAACCCTTTGCATGTTTTTTAAAGCCAGAAAATATTTTTAGATTGTAAGATTTTGTGGGTGATAATGATTTACTGTAACAAGTTTACTAACCCATAGCTGGGGTGGAGAAGAGGTGAATTCATACCCTTTTCCAAGGGTATTTGCAAGTAAATGAATATAATGGAATGAGAAGTTGGTTCACTGATTTTCATTATCAAACAATTATTCCTTACACCAACCACACATTCAAGCTTGCAGCATCTGGTATTCCCAAGCAGTAACCCATTTAGGTACTGAACAGGCTCAGCACTGCCTTAACTTCAGTGATCGTACAAGAACTGGTGTTTCAATGTGATATGGTGGCTGCAAACCCCTTGACATGTAAAGAATATTTTCAATAAAGACCTTTGTGGAACTTGCTGGAATATCATCAGTTATTAATAAGAAGCTCATTTATGGATCTTCCATTTTGTTTTAGGATAGAAATATTGGCATAAAAGCTTTATTTAAAATTTTCTTTTTGTTCACTTTCCAATATGACATTTTCAGGTTGCCTTCTTCAAATGCAAGTATTAACTGGTTAGATGTATGTTAGTTTATAACTGACTGTTGGTGTCAAATTTTAAACTTTATCATTACTATGGGTGAGATAATTATTGTGGATAAAAGAAAATTTATCTTCTAAGAAAACTTCTCCAATTGAAGATAAAGTTTTGACACCTTTCATTACTGTTAGAAAATACTGATGTTGTAATGTTTCATTTTTCTTTCTAAAAATAAATTATATTTTTTGTGAAACAGAATTCTATCTTGCAATAAATGTTAAAAATTCTGTCAAATAACTTTATATTGACCTTATGTATGTATAAGACAGATTTTGTGAAAACTAAGATATTTCTGTTAGAATGCACACCAACTACAATATCCATTCTCAAATATATATTTCTTTATTTGGGTGTGTTTCACTCTTCCTTTTCTAGTTGTGTTCCCTTTTGTCCACTATTTTATATAGTATTGAGAACTGAAATTATTTAAAACTCAAATTTTCATTACTACATTATGAGTAATTGATGTATTTACATTGGTTGTTTATTTCTCCTAAGTTAATTTGGTGGCTGGGATAGAAACTTTTTTCTTCTCTCAATTGTTACCTAGAATCTTTCCAGCTAATTTCTAATAGGTATATCATTTTTATCAGATGGGATGTTGCTGTTGTTAGTATAGAATTAGTTTTAAGACCTAATTTAGCAAATGGATCTCCTGAGAGTCAGATTTTAAGTATTGTTCCAGATATTAGAAAAATAATCATTAAAGAAATGTCAAGTTAATTTCTTCAAAATTCATGTGTGTGCAGGTTTTTCAATCCAATGATGAACCAAATGAAATTTAGCCTTTTATTTGTGGTGGGTTTTGCCTTTGATAGTCTGCCAACTTTTATTGCATTAATTATTTTTTTTTTTTTTTTTTTTTAATTATATTTTTTTTAGTAATTCAAACTTGTAACAATCATAATTGGTCATAATTAAAATTTGAATAATTTTGCTTTTAATATTTTAATTATATTTGGCATTTTTATATTATGAAATTATTTTTTCCTTTCAATTTTGTAAAATTTATTTTGTTGCATTGACATCAGTTTATATTTTTAGAGATTGTTAAATTATTTTTATACCAAATATATTGTCTTAAATAAGCCTGCTAAAACCTTATCTTATTTTAAGTAGATATATATATATAATAAAGTAGGTTCTTTTTAATTCTTAATTTTTAATAAAATACTTTAAAATTTTACCTGACACTACTTGACAAAAATTAAATATTACCATCTGATTGGTAAAAATTCAACTCGGCTCTTTTATAATTCATAAGAATAATCAAAAGAATCATTTTGCCAAATAAGTCTTTATGCAATTGACTAATCTGACTATTACTAATAACTAATTGTTCAGTCATTGAATGTTGAATGTTTCCTGTATGGAAGCAGCTAATCTCAGCATTACTTGAATCATAAAAAAATTGACAACTATACTTAAGTAATTTTGAAATTTCATTGGTTATATTTTCTGCACAAGTAATTTAGGACTCACATCTGTGCAATTAACTCTGTTGCATATAAAAAAGGAAAAGTCTCTAAAGAAGGCTAACATGAAACAACTCAAAAACAATATATTAGCAGCCTGGTCTTCTATACTTACTAATGCTATATTCTGTTATGGTAACATGAGGCATGTTTGTTAGTATCAATATCTCCTCTTAACATAACAATGGAATATCAGTACAATTTAGGAAACCCAGGCTGTGTAACTGATAATAATATAGATGCTTGAACACCTGTGATGTATATTTTCAGCCAACATATTGTATTTTTTTTAAGTATCAAACTATTAGGATTTTTTTAAATATTTAAATATTTTTTAAATATTTTTCTCAATTTTAACTGCTGGTTATTAGCTTATGTTAACAATGGCTGATATTTATAAAATATCCATTCAGACAGCTTTTGACACAATTCTTTTATTCTTGTCCTAAAAATAAAGAGCAAAAATGTTAAGTTTTCTGTTTGTAGTTTTCCATATGTCAAATACTGCAATGCTGAAATACTTTCACAACTGTTTAATAATTTGCATAGCAGTTTTATAGGATGTTTGACTATATTTAGCTAAGTGTAATAAGAAAACTGTTATACATTGAAATTTGAGTAAATATAAGAGGGAAAGGGGAGAGGAAAATAAGATTGAAAAAATATTGGATAATTTTCAGCATCAGTCACTGATTAATTTCGAGTCTTCACCTGTGACAAACCTGAACTAGTCTGGAGATCTGGTTAAAGGAAAGGAATTTTATATATGCAGAAATGATTTTCTTTTATGATCTTCTTGAATGTCTGATTCTTGTATTGTTATCCTATTCTTGTTGGTGAGATGTCAGCTCCAATATTGATTAGTTACCGCAGATGCTTGCCAAGTGCTCGAATACAGAGTTTGCAGTTCTGGCTATATTTTCTAACATGGGAGTTGTAAGTGTTGGCATCAATCTTTACTTATGCTAGAATTGTCCATCATCCAGCAAAAAAATATAAATTATTGAAAAAAAGAAAACATCTACTACTGCAGATTAAAATTACCATATTAATTTATCATTAATTTCTTTTTGGTTTATGCTTCTAACTTGACAAATATAAGAAAAGATTAAAAAGGGGAGAACTTTGAGATATATATCTCAGTATATTCTTACCTTTTGGTCTTTTTCATTTTTTTTATTTTTTTTATTTTTTTTAAGTATGGTATTAACTCTCGTGTTAATTTTATTTTTAAATTTTAATTAAAAAATCTTTATAAAAGCAGTGAATGGTTCAGTGGTTTTATCTTTTCATAGAAAAATAAAATTTATTAACTAATTTTTTTATCAAAAAATACCCATCTACTGTGAAAAAAAAAATGTATATTTAAAATTCATTTGACCTTTTTGCTTAGAGGTGAAGAAAATTTGTCTTTTTCTACTACTTCTCTTTCTACTTAAGGTTTGAAACATTTAACTGAACTGTGTGCTCATTTTATTTGCTCACACTTGAAAAAGAAATCCATAGTTTCAATATAAATCTTCGGTATTTCACTTAAACATATTAACTGCTTCAGTTTTGTTTTACTTATTTTTATAGCAATGCTGACTAACATTATACCTTATTTTACTAAAACTGCTGCATCACTTGGTGTGGTTGTAGTTTTATGCTTCACAAGGATGGATTAATTTTATGTCTGTGGGGGCTGTTGGAAAATTCTCAGCCTGACTCACTCCCCAAAATCTGTGTACAAATGACTAAACCTCAGTTTAGTTTTGTTTTAAGGGCTTCTTGGTTGACTGTAGAACCTTTTTGGCAGTTTCATTTTAGATATGTATTATATAAAACAAAGGTCAATATGTTTTTGCAATGCTTGCATTGATTTTTATTTTATATATATATATTTTTATATATATATATATATATATATATATATATATATAATGGGCAGTTGCAAAATTTGTGAAATAATTTTTATTCTTCTTTATAAAATGTTTATTAGATTTGTAACGTGCTTTGATTAACTTTGTCATTGAATGTGTTTTTGGAATTGTCTTCTGACCTTTGCACTTAACCTTCCAATAATCCGTGTCTATGAAACCACATCATTAGTTCTTTACTGGTCGTTAACCCTCAAAAACCTGTTAACAATGCCTCTGTTCAGTCTACTGATTGAGTTCGACATGCAGATACCTTCAACTTTCTTATTCTCCAAAGCAGTTTCCTGTCTCTTATTTTGATTTTGTTCCATAAAGGTTTGTGTAGATCACAGGTTCAATGCAAAGGTCAGGCAACAACAATCCCAAGAACACACACGGGTTGTGGTGGAGGTTCATTAAGAACAACTCAACATTCCAAAACAAAACAGACATTTGAAGACGGTTAAATAGTACACAGCCAACGTGATAAACACAAAGAAATTAAACCAAGCCAATTCACCATCCAATGATCCTGAAATAACTTGTATAAATTTGATATCTGTTTTATCATTAGTGATATAATGACTTAACTTTTATTAGTTTGCCGATCTGATCAATATGATGAAAATGTTTATTTTAAATAGTATGATTTTATTTCATACATCTAAACTACTTATTAAATAAAAAAAAATGTTACTTAAGAAAAAACACTCTACTTCACTCAATAATTCATTCTCTCAACTTCAAATTTCATTTCTTCATGAAAAAAAGCTGTTCATTAAGGGAGCTCTAAAGAGAAAAATGTCAGCCTTGGATTTTTACTTGAATATTTTGAAAATAGTTTAAAGATGGCTTGTATATCTTTTCTTTTTTCCATTATTAGTATACAAGAATAGATACTACACTCTGATCAAAGGAAGATGGGTTTGTACTATTAATATCTGCAGCACAAAACGGGTGAATGATGTAATTTATTCCATCCTATTGTTAAACAGTTGAGAGTTACCATTAAGGAGATCTAATCACCAGATTTGGTATGTCCAAATGAGAATAATTGACACTGATTTCTGCATTGAGTTTATTTTAAGACAGGAGTGGTTACGATCCAATAATTTTCAAGACTTTAAAAAGAAGAAAAATTGGGTTACCTTCTCTAAAACTTCTTGTGTGGTCAAGTGTGATATTTGACTAAATCACAATGGTCAGCATAAGGTATATAAATGAAGAAGGAAGTATACTAGAAATCTGTATTCCATAATGAATGAGTTAACATTTAGAAAACTTTTTCTAAAAGTGTAGTGTAGATCAGTAAGTATGTAGCCTGACAAGTCAAATTTTAATCTGAATTTTTCATTTTATAATGTAACAGGAATGTCAATCAGTA